CCTACGCCTCCCACGCGCCTGGGCACGGGCGGCCTCCTATTGGCCGAGCGCCGCGTGGCTAGCGGAGGCGTCTCATTGGCTCAGGTCCTGCAGCGGCTCCTGGATTGGAGCAGTGTGCTCTGTCGGGAAGGGCCCATCCTGTTGGTCGAGGCCTGACAGGGGCTTAGCGGGCGACTCCCTCCCCATTGGCCAAGTTATGGAGCGCTCCGACCAGGCTGCGTCTCATTGGCCAAAGATGGGAGGGTTCCGCCTAAAGACCGCCTCTTACTGGCCACGAGTGGACTTAGTTGCGGCTACCTTCTCATTGGTTGAGGCCAGAAGCACTTCTGCCCAGGCTGCCTCTCCCCGGCTAGGGCCTGGTGCTTCTGGCTGGAGGGTCCCTCCTTTGGCCTTACCAACAGAACCCGGGGCTACCTCCACTGGCTGGGCTCCCGGGCATCTGGTTGACCCCAGCCTGGGGAGGAGGGCTGGTCTCCGCTCCTCAGGGGCTTAGTCCGTCCCACCCCTTCCCTTCCCTGGCAACCGGAGCCCCGGCCCCTCAGCTGTCAGCTGGTTTTGATGGCCTCCCACTGCCCGACACACCGCGGGACCTCCAGGGGCGACTCTAGTGGCCTGAGGAGATGTATTTATAGGCCCCCAGCAGGGCTGCTCCCACCCTGGCCGGTGCCCCAGGATGGGCTCCTCCCGGCGGGGGCTTGGCCAAAGCTTTCTTAATAAAGTGCCTTTCCCCTCGTGCTCTGATCACTTCCTGTTTGCAGGCTTCGGCCAAAGATGGCCCCCCAGAAGTAACTTTATGTGACGACCTGTCCTGCACTCTCCCCCACCCCTTATCTCAGCGGGGAGCCCTGGAGCCCTGGCGTGGGTCTCCCGGGACCATGGTGGAAGTGGGCTGCGTCAACCCACATGCCTCGTTTGTTTATCAAGTTTATGCGGCCCCATCCAGCCTGCCCCATCCTGGACTGGTCACGGGGAGGAAAGCTGGGTGGGGGCAGATCAGGCGGAGTCCCTGACTGAAAGGGACAGGCGATGGGCCTGCCTCGGATCTGGGCATTTCCCCTGGCCGCTGCTGTTAAACTTGGGCCTCAGAGCTGTTGGTAGCAGCTTGCGGGGGGTGCAGAGGCTGAGGCCAGGGGGCCGCGGGCGCTGACTCCAGCCGGGCCTCCTCCAGCACAAACAAGCCGGTCTCCTGCTGCACAGAGCCCTGCTGTCTGCCTCAACGGGTTCCTTGTCCTCAGCCGGAAACTCTCCTGACTGCCAGCCCCGCCTGCTCCTGCGGGAGGTTGAGGGAGACGGAGGGAGCGCCCCGCGCAGATCCCCCGCCCCCAAGCCAGACCCTGCTGCCTGGCCCTCGATGTGTGACCATCTGTGCCCCAAGGCCTCCCTGCTCTTGACCCGCCTACCCTGAGCGGGTTCATCCTCCCGGGCAGGCCTCCTAAGTGACCCTCCTAAGCCACAGACCCTCACCTTCCATGGCCCCTGCTGTCCCCACACTAAGTTCCCCCAGCTCCTGCCTGTCCGGTCTCCTCTGGCCTCCTGCCTCTCCCCCGCCCCCGGGCCTCTTCCTGTTCTCCTGCATCTCGTCATTTGATGCCCAGCTCAAAGTCTTGCCCTGCTGCCAGGATCTTCCGATCACCCTGCAGCCGCCGCACAGTGCTCATCGGTCTCACGCTGGCAACTTGGGGCTCTCGTCCTGGCCACACTCTCATCCTCTGGCCAGATGCACCACTGAGGTCAACTTTGGTCACCCATCTCAGAGGGCTCAGCCATCTGAGCGGAGGCTGTGTCCTGCCCTGGGTCGACCGTCCACAGCAGCTGGCAGGACACAGTCAGGCAGCACGTGGAATGTGGGATCCCTGCCTCTGGGCCACACTGCCTCCCTGAAGCCAGCTGGGCACCCTCCCAGCCATGGCCCTGTGGCTGGAAAGCCTCTGCTCTGTTCCGGCACAGCGCCATGCGGGCTGCTGGGATTGAGGCCAAGAAGGCAGATGCCCAGCCGGGCTCAGCGAGGGCAGGGCAGTGCCTACGTGTGGATGAGGGGTGGGCAGTGCAGGGGCTCAGACCACATTCTTGCCTAGGCGGTGCCCACCCCCCAGAACCATCAAGATGCCACACCGCTGTTTCCTGAAACCCCCCAAGCCCTCAGCTCTTGCTATTCCTCCTCCCCCAGCCTGGACCAGCATGATTTGGAGAGAACAGGGATGTCCCAGTGACCAGGCCTTTCTGGGGACCTCTCCTTGCCCTTCCCTGGGAACCCCCCTAGGTGTCGAAGACTCTACCTGTGGGTGCTTCACAAAACAGGGGACCCCTCTCCACCCACCACCAGCCATCCCCTGCCCCCAGGAGGGTCCCAGTGGCTGCTGGGAAGGGAGATGCTGGGACCCCTCCAGCCTCCTGCCTCCCACCACCGGCTTCTCCCCACCCCCTCGGGGCTCACAGCAGTGCCAGCTCCCAGGGCAGGCGCCACAAAAGGGAACCGCGGCTGCTGGAACCTCCGTTGCCATGGGGATGGGGACCACAGGACCCACATCTGGTAGCGATTGAGGAGGAAAAATTATGAGTCGTGGAAAACGCAAATATTTTTTGTAGCACAGAGCACAAAGGAGTGGGAGGAATGTGGGGACCAGGCCCAGCCTGGTTTCAAGCAGACGCGGCCCACGGCACACAGAGGCCTGCAGACACCAACCCTGCGCCACACGCACGCTCCTCTAGACTCAGAAACGCCAACACAGACACACAGCCCGAAATGCGGACATGCACACACAAAGCCAGCAGAACCCCAGAAACACAGAGACAGCACACACACTGCAACACACACCCACACAGCACTGGGCCCAGAGGAACACAGCCACTCACCTGCCGACACACGCACACGACACTCTACTAGACCGAAACACTCACCCTCCAACACACACATACAATCCACCGCTCACAGAGATAGACGCGCTGCAACACACACACAGCCAGCCTACACTACTATGGAGGACACTTACCCCACAACACGCACATAACAATGGAAAAAAAGACTGACTCTGCAACATACGACATGTATCACCAGACACAGAAACACCGAGACAGAGGCTTGTTGCAGCACACACACCATAGGCCACAAAGAAACCACGAGAGAGACAACCCTGCAACATACACACTTCACCAAAGTCAGAAGCGTATATATCTCATACAAAATATGCACTCATCCTGCACACATACATCTTCCACCAGATACACAGAAACATGACAGAAATACATCAAACACACTCGCCAAACACACCACCTGCAGCACATAGCTCACCACCAGACAGAAATGCAGATAGGCCGGGGGCAGTGGCTCACGCCTGTCATCCCAGCACCTTGGGAGGCCGAGGCAGGCAGATCACTTGAGGTCAGGAGTTTGAGACCAGCCTGGCCAACATAGTGAGACCCTGTCTCTACTAAAAATACAAAAAATTAGCCAGGCGTGGTGGCACGCACCTGTAATCTCAGCTTCTTGGGAGGCTGAGGTGGGAGAATTGCTTGAATCCAGGAGGCAGAATTTTCAGTGAGTGGAGATCACATCACTGCGCTCTAGCCTGGGCGACAGACTGAGACTCCGTCTCAAAAAAAAAAAAAAAAAAAAATGAAAATGTAGACACAGACATGCACCCTGCACCCACCACACCACACTCACAGAACACACCTCATCCTGCAAAACACACACACACGCACACACACACCCTCTGACACACAGAAACTCCAAGAGACCCTCACTCTGCAACCATAGACACCTTCCACCAGACACGTAGAAACAGCAACTTACACAACCTGCGACACGCACATGTGCTGCCAGAGCTGACTAAATACTAAGGCGCACGCATCAGCCGACACACAGAAGTGTACCCATCCTACGGACAGACGGCATACACAGCATCCACGCCCTACTAGGCATGAAGGCGGGCACCCACCCTAAAATGCACTCACTGCGCTAGAAACAGATCATAAGGCCTGGCGTGGTGGCTCACGCCTGTCATCCCCACACTCTGGAAAGCCAAGGCAGGAGGTGCACTTGAGGACAGGAGTTCGGCTCGTATCTGTGGTCTTTCACCCTGCAAATACACATACAAACATGCCGCCAGGCACACAGAAACACCAAGACACAATGGGAACACACACTGGGAACATGCAAACTCCTCCACACACCAGAACATGGAGGCTGCTGGCAGTACTGAATTCGTCTCAGCCCTGGGCTCCGGGGAAATGGTGCTTGCTGAGAAATTGCCCCTTCCTTTGTGTTCTGAGAAATAGCCCAGAAGAAGCACTATGCTGTTGTCCATTCCAAGACCCCGCCTCCAGCCTTCAGCCCGAGTCTCTTATTTGTCGGGCTGCTCCTTCCTCATCAGTGAATTTTCTTCCCATGCCAGTAGCCTGAATAAAGTCACCTCCTTATGTGTCTGGTGCATTCCCCCAACAGTCGTTGTGCCTTGATGTGGCAAGGGTTGGACTTACCTTTCCATCCCCAGTGACTGCAACCAGGTGGTGAGCCGTCTCTGAGACCCACAAGCCGCCCCTGACTGGCAATCAGGGTGGGGGACCTTCAGTGAGTGTGACTGACCCCTGGTCGTGTGCTCCCGGCTTTTGCCCGTTGGTAGCATAGTGACAATTTTATTTTGATGCTTTCAGTTTCATGGTCTGACCATTTGGTGATCTTTTTAAACAGATTGGTGGTTTATAGACATCTTGTCTCTGTTGGGTGAGAGAGGACAGTGTGTGGTTTGAGAGTCTTTTCTGTTTGTTCATTTGTTTAGTTTAGTTAAAAATTTTGGGTGAGATTGGTGGCTCACACCTATAATCCCAGTGCTTTGGGAGGCGGAAGTGGGAGGATCACTTGAGGATAGGAGTTCAAAACCAGCGACCCCCATCTCTAATAAATAAGTAAGTAAATAAATAAATAAATAATTTAGCCACGCATGGTGGTGGTGTGCACCTGCAATCCCAGCTACTCCGGAGGTTGAGGTGGGAGGATCCCTCGATCCCAGGAGTTTGAGGCGCACCACTGTACTCCAGCCTGGGCAACAGAGTGAGAACCTGTCTCTAAAAAGTCCAAGAATTTGTCCCCAGTGGGAAGATGGTTTGGAGATGTGGTCAGCCACATACATGGATGGAGTTGTGTTGTCATGAATGCTTCATTTAGGTGGATTGGCTGTCATACGCACAGGTAAGCGACACATCCAACAGTTAGTATGCTTGAAAATAGGCCTGTAGCTGGGCGCGGTGGCTCCCGCCTGTAATCCCAGCACTTTGGGAGGCCGAGACGGGTGGATCACAAGGTCAGGAGATCGAGACCATCCTGGCTAACACGGTGAAACTCCATCTCTACTAAAAATACAAAAAAAAAAAAAAAAAAAGCCAGGTGAGGTGGTGGGTGCCTGTAGTCCCAGTTACTCAGGAGGCTGAGGCAGGAGAATGGCATGAACCCAGGAGGCGGAGCTTGCAGTGAGCCGAGATTGAGCCACTGCATTCCAGCCTGGGTGGCGAGACTCCACCTCAAAAAAAAAAAAAAAAGAAAAAGAAAATAGGCCTGTTCCTTGGGTGGAGCTAACATGCAGATGATTGGCAAAGCCTCCTGAGAAGCAGTGGGGTCAGGGCTGGGGTTAGGAGGGCAGAGATCAGGGCTAGGGTTAGGAGGGCAGCCTACAAGAGTTGAAAACCACCTAGTGAATCTATGGTGGTTGGGCTGCTAGGGAGGAAAAGGAGGAGTGGGAAGGTGGGAGAAAGGCCTTTGACAGGGTTACAGTAGGAAGCAGGGTGTGGAGGAGTCGACCTGGGGCCAGCTCAGTTGTGTGGATGGTGGTCAGGTGTCATCCATCTTCGGGTGAGGTCATGGTCTGGATGAGTCCAGCTGCAGGGCTGAGGTCACTCACCTGGGAAAGAAGCTGGTTGGGGTGAGCTCCTGGGCCTCCCTGAGTTTGCAGTGACCTTCGCCCAATAATGGACCTCGAGACATCTGTGAGGGAGTCCTAGAACCACAGGACTGTGGTTGGACAGAGCCAGTGAAGAAGCCATTGTCCTGGCGTCACACTGGGGATACAGTGATTCCAAAGCTGCCTGCTGCATACACCCCACAGGAAGTATTCCAGCAGGGCTTCCTATTACTAGTCTGACATGCATTGTGAGGGGCAAAATGTGCACACGTGACACTCATTGGAGAGCCTCAGCAGTGGGCATTCCATTTACACTGCTGCTTCCCGTGTGTGTGTCGGGGGGCCTGCCTTATGAGTTTATTTTTTTCTGAAATAAAAAACAAATTGTTTAAATTACTTATTTGGCCGGGCGCAGTGGCTCGCGCCTGTAATCCCAGCACTTTGGGAGGCCGAGGAGGGTGGATCACTTGAGGCTGCGAGTTCAAGACCAGCCTGGCCAACATGGTGAAAC